AAACTGGAGACGCAAGTATGAAACCACATGGTGAGTCTGGATGTGAGCCATTTCCTAGTGCTGGCACCACTTAGCCATGAGCATGACATTAAATTAGCTATTTGTAGAGTTCATAACAGTTTAGAAAGGTAAAGTTAAACATATAATACCCCAGTGAAGAAAGCCAAGTTCACCTTATTGCCACTTCCTGCAGAAGAGGACCTGCAGCTCAGAGCAGCCACTTGGCCCACCTCAGTGACATAGTCAGCCAGTGGGGTAGTTGAGACCCAAACTCCAGTTGTCCAGCTCCTCTTCCTCTGTGCCCAGCTGACTGCCTTGCCAGCAGTTCAGGCCCTGTGCTTTGCCATAGAGCAGCGCCACCTTGAACAGATGCGCAGGAGCAAGCCTAACATGTGCAATGCTTAATGTTCTTATTGTTTGGATACAGATATTGGACTCATGGTAGCTTCCATCCTGAGGAGACCAGGTTGGTATGGGGGTTTCTGTGCATCTCAACTAATCTGGGGGTGTTCCTGGGAAGAGAGTCAATGGACCCTAAACCAGAGAGCGCCAACCTTTTTTGTGAAGTGGGAGGGTTGCTGGATTCTCAGCAAACTGGAGAGGGAAGTGTGCCTTGGAGACTTACCAGATGAATCTTCCTGGTTTACTGGTTGGTTCAAATCTACTGACTGGAAATCTCCGACCACTTCTCATTTGTAGGACAAGGATAGTAGTAGCATTTACCTTGATGTGATATGATGTCAGGATTGTTGCTGTTGTTCGGTGGCACTGAGTAGGGAAGTGTGCCTTGGAGACTTACCAGATGAATCTTCCTGGTTTACTGGTTGGTTCAAATCTACTGACTGGAAATCTCCGACTACTTCTCATTTGTAGGACAAGGATAGTAGTAGCATTTACCTTGATGTGATATGATGTCAGGATTGTTGCTGTTGTTCGGTGGCACTGAGTCGATTCTGACTCGCGGTGGCCCTCTGCAACAGAATGAACCACTGCCCTGTCCTGTGCAGTCCTCACACTCCCGGCCATGCCGGAGCTCATCGTCGCAGCCACTGTATCAGTCCCTCTTGGTGAGGGCCTTCCCCCTTTTGGCTGACTAAGGCACTTGACTGCTAACCAGAAGGCTGGTGGTTCAAACCCACCAGCCACTCCTCGGAAGGAAGATGGGGCAATCTACTTCCGTAGTGGTTTGTGGTTGTTGTTGTTATGTGCCATTGAGTTGGCCCCGACTCATAGCGACCCCTCCTTGGGTTTCCGAGGCAGTATCACTACGGAAGTAGGATTGCCCAACCTTCCTTCCGAGGAGTGGCTGGTGGGTACTGCCTCGGAAATCCAAGGAGGGGTCGCTATGAGTCGGGTCCGACTCGACGGCATATAACAGCAACAACTATAACTACTTTACCAAGCAAGATTTCCTTCCCCAGAGACTGGTCCCTTCTGACAGCATGACCAAAGTAGGTGCTTCTAAGGAGCATGCTGGCTGCACTTCTTCCAGGACAGATTTGTTCATTTGTCTGTTTGTCCACGGTATTCTCAGTATTCTGTGCCAACACCACAATTTAAACACATCACCTCTTCTTCGGTCTTCCTTATTCACTGTCCAGCTTTCATATGTGTATGAGGTGACTAAAAATACCATGCTCAGTAGAGTTAGGCGCATCTTGGGTTAGCAGCACCATTTATCATGATAAATGGAGAAAAGATTGAGGTTGTCAGGGATTTCATTTTACTTGGATCTGCAATCAACATCCATGGAAGAAGCAGTCAAGAAATCAGACATCATATTACAGTGGGCAAATCTCTTGCAAAAAGACCTCTTTAAAGTGTTAAGGAGCAAAGATGTCACTTTGAAGACTAAGGTTCACCTAACCCAAACCATGATGAGGGGATACTAGGTGACAATATGGTATTCCTGGCACATAGTAAGTGCTCAATGTATTGTTAAAATAAAAAAAAAATTAAACTCTCTCTGAGAAATATTGTAGCACATTTCCTTGTCATCAGCATTGTAGTGATATCTAGCATAACATCCTTTACACTTTACAAACATTATTTCATAGTTTAGAAACCCCTCCCGTGAACTGGGTAATGTCTTGTGTCACATGTAAAGAAACATGCTTATTTGAATGAGTCAAGTATCCGGATCTAGCTAATGGATCCAACCAGGCCCTTAAGCTGGGTCTCGTGTCTCCAAGTTCCAATGTTGCACTGGCACCAGCTTTCTGAGCTGGTGAGCAATGACTCCCATCTACTGCTGGAGGTCACAGGGCCGCAGGGGAGAAACCAGTTCTCATCAAGACGCTTTTTCATTGCTGGGAGTGCCCTGATGACTGACTCACAGTATCAGGCAAACAACCTTGTGTGTTTGTGAAACAAACATCAACTCACCCAAAAGGGTCAAGCTGGTCGTAAGTCCTTTGAGCATTACTGCAAAGTTTCTTGGGCTTCCCCTGTAGGAGGGTCTGAGATGTGCTTGGACAAGAGCTTCTTAATGCCAGCTTTGCCCTTGATGAGTTAAGTCAGAATATTTGAAGGTGAGATATAGACATCAGTATTTTGAAAGCTTCCTTAAGTGACTTGAATGAACAGCCAGGGCCAAGAGCTCTTGGTTTCTGAGGGGCAAGAGTGTCAGTCTCTAACAGGTGGGGAGTCTCTCTCTCTTCCTCTGTCCAAGGCAGCAACATTGGACATGCCTCAATGCCTCCATCACTGGCTTCCCTAACAGAGAATCTGGAACGTTGAGGCCTCCCATGATGAGGATGGCTGTTTCTAAAGGAGCGTTACACCTCCTTCTGGTGGATACTATCATTGTTAGTGACAACTTTCTATTTGTGACTAGAAGCAGCTCAGCCTTTTCAAATAGTCGCTGAGGCGTCCACAAAAGCCATTGGCTGAGTTCCCAGGAACACTGGATTCTGCCTGTGTGAAATGATCGTGGCAGTGAACCCTTGGGACCACATGCTGATTCAGGCTTGGAAGGCACTAGCCTTTTCTCCCTTGGGTGCTCTGCTTGGTAACTACCCTTTGAAAACAGGGCAGCAAGAATTATTGCTGGAAGTTCTGTTTTAGTGGTTTTGGAAAAGGGCAGTCCCCTTGTGTTTGTTCTCCAGAGCTTCCCAGGAGACTCAATGATGTTCTTATCAGAGAGGATGATAGCAAATCAAAGGGGAATAAGTGCTACTTCCAAGAAGGTCCGTGATACTTACTCAACACTTTCTGTATAACAGGCACTGTCCTAGGTGCCTCACTTACTTGATCTGATACTCACAACGATCGTGTAAACACGTACTTTATCATGATCTCTGTTATACGAGTAAGGAAACTGAGCTCAGAGAGAGGCTGTAATTTGCCCAAGGAGTTAGGAGTCTCATGCATGTCTGGGTGGTTCCAGAACCCATTCTTTCTATTTTATTGTATTACAGGGTCTCAAGGGACCCCAAAGACCCCCAGAATATCTTCCCCTTCTAATACTTGTCATCTCTACAACATCCTCTACCAGTGGTCCTCGGGTCTCTGCTGATACACCTCCAGGAACAAAGAACTCACCACCTCCCAACACAGGCCATTTCATCTGTAGAGAGCTCTTGTTCCTCATCTGGATCAAAGCAGGACTTAAACAGAATAAACAAACAGAGTGGACATCTGTTTAAGAGTAGATTCCACTCATTGGTCCTAACCCTATCCCTTAGAATAATAAACAGCTAATGTTTTTTGAGCAATTACTATATGCCAGGTACTGTGCTAAAAGCTTTACATTTATTATCTCACTTTATCTGCTCAGCAAATGCCTAGTATGATCATCCTCATTATACAGATGAGGACTTTGAAGTTCAGAGAGGTTAAGTGACCTGTTCTAGTTCTCAAGAGAGCGCTAAGATTAGAATCCAGCAATGTGACTGTGGAGTCCCTGACCACTGCATCACCTCATACATCCTAAACATGTGAGCAAGTTGGACACCTTGGACCGCTCTGCTGCTTTCCACGCATCACTCCAGGACTGCCCATGGTTCACCTGAGTACTCTTTGAGCCTTTGAGATCTCTCCTCCCTTCTTCCAAATACACACTTCCTTGTTCCTCCTCCCTCAAATGCATTGGCTCTGTGAGCCTGCCTGAAGCAAGGCTGGGATGTGCCTTTAAAAGCCATCCATCCTCCCACCTAGAGCTGTCAGCTCTTCTGACCCTCACCTCCAGAAAGAGCTTCTCCCAGGAGGCAGGCAGGGAGTGAGAGATGCTCATGTTGTCTATTAGACACACTGGATTGGGGCCATTTCCTGGGAAGCTAGAATGGCTTCCTGCTTATAGCCAATAATAACAGTAATAGTTGCTGACATTTTGGGTACATGCCATGTGTCAGCTGGGCTGTTCACTTGTGGTGTGATCTCATTAAGTCCCAGGGCCTCTTGTCCAGCTTTGGCAGGGGCACTCCCTCTGCTCAGGAGTCCTACAGGGTCAGTTGCCCTGTGGTTAGAGCCTGGGTTCTGAAATCAGATAGATCTGGTTGTTGGCGATAACTCTGCTTCTCTGGAGTTGTGTGACCTTAGAAATGTTACATACCCTCTCCAGACCTTGGTTCCTCTGTAAGATAGGTATTGCAGAGTTGCTGTGATGATTGAATGATGTCTTTCCTTTGAGTGCCCAGCATAGTGCCTGGCACAGGGTGAGTGAGGAGAAACGCCAGCTATCGTTAATAATCTTTGCATTATGCCTCACTGAAATGTGGTTCCAGGTGGACCTTAAGATTTCTGCTCACTGTTGGGTTTTCCTGGATTCTGAAAATGCAGAGTTCTCTGGAGTGCCTGTTGGGCCCACTCCTGGGCAGATGAGGAGGCTGGTTTGCTTTCAGGAGAACCCTGTGTGTTGACTATGGAGTGCCATTCTACTCTGAAACACATGGGGTCACCATGAATCAGAATCGACTCGACAGCAACTGGTAACATGACTGAATGACTCAAAGTGACTATTGCTGTGACATCTAGTTTTTCCTCTTCTTTTCAGAAAGGGGATGTTTGGGCTAAAGCTGAAGAAGAAGAAGAAGAAAGCTGACAAGGGGTTAACCCTAGCCAACAAGGCTGCTCAAGGTGAGGCTGTCTCACACTGCTGACTGCTCCTTGAAACCTGAGGGCATGAAGAGCCATGTCTCCACTCTCTACTTACCACAGTGAGGCAGGAAATGTGTTGCCTACTGGGTCCTGACCCTGGGCCAATCACAGGTGTGGGCTCAATGACCCAGGTCATGGACTGAAACAGGATAGGGGTGGGATAGGGGTGGGTGAGGCAGTGGAAGGGGCTCTGATGGAGAGGCAGCGACAAGGTTCAAGCTCTGACATCTGTTCTAATTTGCTCTGTAACCCCGGGCTAAGTCACTCAGTTTTTCTCTCCATCAAATGGGCAGGACATGGTTTGCTAGGCAGACCTCACGTAGCCATGGTGAAGATCGTGTGACATGTTGAATGTGGAGACACTCTGAAAGTAAGAATGAAAGGAGCAGCTACTAGGGACGAGGCCCCTGTGGGCGGCTTTACATATGTGGTCGCATTCGGTCCCCTCCCCAGTCTCAGCAGGTAGGCACCATTATCTCAGTTTTATGAATGAAGATACAGAGGGGCAGAGATTAAATAAAGTATGGAAAGGACCAGTTGCATGAATTGCAGGGCCCAGTGAAAAATGAAAAAAGCAGAGCCATTTGTTAAGATTTTGGTAAGAATTTCAAGATGGTGGCAGCAGAGCATTAAGCCAAGCATGGGATCCTCCTGAGCAGGGATCCTGCTGTTGTGTGGAGCTCACCCCATAATGCTGGCCCTGAGCTGGGAGACACAAAGCCAAGAAGCAGTGGAGTCAAGGTGTAGATCCAGGCTGTCTGGCCTTCGGTGAAGGCCTCATGTGAACTGTGCCAGTGGAGGCCAGGCCTGGCGCAGACCAGTAAGTAACCAGTTGCCTCTGAGTTGACGCCAACCAATAGCAACCCCACATGTTTGCATAGAAGTGTGTTCCATAGGATTTCCATGGCTGATGTTTTGGGAAGTAGGTCATCAGGACTTTCTTCCAATGCATCTCTGGGGGAATGTGAATTGCCAACCTTTCCGTTAGCATTGAACACACACCATTGTTGGACCCCTACATACTCCCCAGCACAGAAAGTTCATGTTTATGGTATCAAATAGGATCTAATGCTTCCATGTGGACTTCTGGAGACTTCTGTGATTGACCCCGATGGCAGCCTGTTCAGGCCTACCTTTCTGGACCGTTCACCTAAACCACAATGGTGAAGTGGGTATGGTTGCTCTTCACTTCTCTTACCTCATTGGTGAGGGGCCTCCTCTTTTGCCAGCTGCTTCAAGTGTCCTGTGGCCCTATGCCTCACCTTACTCCACCCATTGCACTCAAGGAAAACCTATCCTTACAGTAGAAAAGTATGGAAACTCATTGATGCTAAGGTGTCACTAACTAATAATGATAAAGAATTGCCTTTGAATGGGAAAGGGGAGAAGCATTACATTTAAGCCTTGTGAGAACAAGGCTTAAAGCTAAATAGAACTCATCTACTGAGTCAAATTGAAGATTGTAGTGGTGGGATGGAAAAGGCTTTGGGGGTCTTTCCTGGTGTTCTTGATGTTATGATACTGCAGTAGATCCTGAGGACACAGAGTTGATTAAGATACACTCCCTTCCCTCAAGGATATTGTAAAAAGTAGTAATATTTATGACACATTTAATAAGACCCTGCTGTGTTCTACATGACATACATTATTCACAGCTCTGAAATGCCACCACTTCACAGTAGAGGTTCAGAGTGGTTGAATGACTTACCCAAAGTCAAACAGCTGAGCTCAGGTCAATCTAACAGCAAAGCCTGGACTTTCCTACCCCAAGGGCAACCTCCAGTGAGGAGCCATTACTGATTGTGCAGGGGAGGGGAAAATGAGCTGGCAGAAAGGTAGGACAGTCAACCACAGGCATTTTCAGAGGAACTGGGGGAGCTTGTGATGATGCTGGTTCATTGTAATTAGAGTCTTTAGCCCACAAAGCAAACAGGGCAGGAGAAATCAGGGACCTCCTAGAAAGTAAATAGCATCTATCCTGCTGGCTTGGGCCAGCCCTGTAGAAGACTGACAAAGTCAATAGAACTTTGGTCTTTCCTTCCTAGCTTGATCTGGAAAGTTAGGGCTTTTCTGGGTGAAATGTTAGGAGATTCTCAACATCTCCAGCTTATTTATCTGTGTACTTTGATGAATAGTGGCTAAGTCTTAATTTCTTAAAATTCTAATTAATCTCCACCCATCCTTTACATAGTTACCCAACAGATAGTTATTGGGTACTCCCATGATTGTTCAGTTATTCAACAAATATTAATGGGACATCTGCTAAATGTTGAACTCCGTGCTAGGTTCTGGGTCTATAGTGGCAGGCTCTGGCCATCTAAAACTCTTCCGTTTGCCTTTCTAGATCTATTCTCCATGCTTTCCCTTGTTCCAGGAGAGGCTCCGAAATGGTTATCCAGCTGTGCTATACGTTACAACTACCTGGAGACTTTAAAGAACCTTCAAATCCAGGCAACATACAAGATCAATTAAATCAGAATTCCTGGTTATGGGAAGGACATCTCAAAATGTTGACAATCCACTTAGGTCTTGTAAACTCTTGGTACTCAGAATTGGTCCAGTAGCCATGGCATCCCCTGGGAGGCTCAGAGAGAACAACTTACTTGTCTAAAGTCCCATAACCGGGTAGTGGCAGGGTAATGACTTGAAAGCATGACCTTAAACTCATAATCCAATTTTCTTTCCATAACACCAAGCATATAGATCATCCCTGTTTCCGTTTTGCACAGAGAGAGGATGCATTACTTTTTAGGATAATTTTAGGCATGAATCTGGTTTTCCTTTCAATAAGACATTACTTTTCATGCAGGTCAAAAAACTCACTGCGATCGAGTCAGATCTGACTCAAAGCGACCCCTCCTTGTTTTTCCAAGGCACTATCTCTATGGGAGTAGATTGCCTATTCTTCTGAGGAGTGGCTGGTGGGTTTGAACCACCAGGCTTCTTGTTAGCAGTCAAATGCCTTAGGACTAGGGCTTGTCTTATATTCTCTTGTATCCCTTATGGTGACTGATGTGGTGCTGGACACTGAGTAGGAGCTCAGATTGCTTTGTTTTCCTGTTTTACAGTTTTCTTTCTTTGTTTACTTCCCTAGATGATCAAGGTGAAGCAGAAGCATCCCAGGAGGGGCCTTCCCACCAGGAAGGACTGGGAGGAGAGTTGATCTATAATAATGCATCTACTACTCCTGCCTCCTCAGTGCCTCTGAAGAGAAGGTACGGTGCTGTACGCAGACAGGCAACCAACATTTACTGGGCATTCCTAGGGGTAGGAGCTCTGGTAACTTAGTGCCTCAGGCATTTGACTGCTAACCAGAAGGCTGCCGGTTCAAACCCACCAGCCACTCCTTGGAAGGACGATGGGACAATCTACTTTCGTAGTGATACTGCCTCAGAAACTCAAGGAAGGGTCGCTATATGAGTCGGGTGCGACTCGACGGCACATAACAACAACAACATCCTAGGTGTCAGGTACCGCTGCAGCCTCAGGGAGAAAAGAGGAGAATAGGACCTAGTGGCTGTCCTCAAGGAGCTGAGAATCTGTGGTAGAAAGAGAGTTCTTGGTCAGCTCAGTTTTCTCTATGGGAGTGCTGGACTCTTGATACTGGTCAGTCTTCAACAGGCCAGCGTCCTGGCTCTACCACTTCTGGTCTTAAGTTTCTCTTAAACAGTAGCATGAGGAGACAGGTTCAGGAGCTTCTATTTACCCACTCTTTAAAATGTTTTATCATGATGCTGGTTGTCCTAACTTTGTGTTTGTCCTAAAGGAAAAGGTCGTTTCTGTACTATTCAACAAGAGGTCAAAACAAACTTGCCTTCTGCACACAATTTGTTGTGTCAACAGCAATAGTTAGCTATTGATGTGTAACAAATCTCCCCCTAAACAGATGACTTAATATAAGATGAAGCGAGATTGTGTTATATTTGCTCATGAGTCTGCAGGTCAGTTGGATAGTTTTACTGGTCCCAGTTATTCTCAGACTCATCATTCATGTGCCTGTGGTTAGGTAGGGATCAGATTGGTAGCTCTGCTGACTTTGGTTTGAGGGTCTGCTGGTTGTAAGGCTAGGACTGCTGAAACTAGGACCACAGAAATCCCCTTGTCACGATTGGAGGTCCTCCAGCAGACTAGCCTGAGCTTGTTCCACTGGTGGCAATGGCAGGGTTCTAAGAGAAAGTGTAGAAGGGCACAGGCTTCTTGAGGTGTAGGCTCAGAACTAGAAAAAGTCATTTTGCTGCATTCTACTGGCCAACATAAGTCACAATGAGTGGGAGGGGACTACAAAGTTACAGGGCAAAAAGCATAGGTCCAGAGAGGCTAATAATTGGGGCTTTTAATACTATCAAACAAACAAACAAAAGCCAAACTCACTGCCATTGAGTCAATTCAACTCATAGTGACCCCTCCTTGGGTTTCCAAGGCTGTATCTCTATGGAAGTAGATTGCCCCATCTTCCTTCTGATTCAATGCTATCAGTCTACCATATCTATTTATGTCAGTTTCTCACTCATGGTAATTCTCATGCCCTTCCCTTTTTTTCCATCCAGAGCTGTATTAATAATAAAGCAAAGTAATACTTCCCTATGTGGTAGACCCTGTTGTTGTTTCTGGGCTATGACAAGGTTGGCTGTATATGTGTGTATGGGGCAGAGGGGAGTGGGAAAGAGGTGGACATTAGAGAAGTGATATAATTCAGAGGCCAGTACGTCCAAGAAGATATGAGACTTACTTGCACATAGTCACCGCCATAGCTCCCTCCCCTGGCTGCACCATGATAACCACCTCCCACCCCCAGGCCCTGAGTGAGGATTTAATATCCTTCAATGCACCCCCTGCCATCTCTCTCACCAGGACAACAGCCTCAAGTAGAGGCAGGCAAGAGAAAGAGAACAGAAGGACTAGAAGAACTTTTCTGTCTCCTTGGTTGGTCCATTCTCTATCAATTGAGATTCTACTTACCAACCAATGCTTAGTTCAGATCCAATCTCTGCAGTGAAGTCTTTGCTGACTACTCTGACCCTCAGGAATTTCTCTCTCCTTTGAACTCCTATCACATTTTTCCTATTGCATGCTGTACACTTCCATACTAGTTCTCTCCTTACATGCTTTGGTCCTCTCGCTCCTAGAGAGTTAGTTTGCAAGAATCAAGACTAGGCCTTACTTGTTGTTGTTGTTGTTAAGTGCTGTCGAGTCCTTTCTGACTCATAGCAACCCCATGCACAGCAGAACGAAACACTGCCCGATCCCGCGCCAGCCCCACAATCCCCGCTATATTCGAGCCCATCATCGCAGCCACCATATCAATCCATCTCTTTGAAGGCCTCCCCCTCTTTCGTCTACCCTCCACCCTACCAAGCATGACATCCTTCTCCAGGGAATGGTCCCTTCTTACAACATGACCAAAATAGGTGAGACGAAGTCTGGCCATTGTTGCTTCCAA